ATAGCTTGAAATTTTCCAGCAGAGATTTTACAATTACACCTTATTCGTCTATATTTATTCATTTTCATCCTATTATAAGACGACTAGCTTAACAACCGCTTCTTTTAAATGTCTGCCTATGTAATTCCCTTTTATATGTGAAAAATAATCCCAATACGAATTTGTAATAAGTTCATGGCTCAAGTATCTGCTGTGATTTATATATAATAAAGTCATACTTAAAATATTGAATAATATAAAGGTAAAACACATAAATCAGTCATTCCATATTAGATGCGTTCATCCAAAATGCCACAGTATTACCTATTTGGTGACGCTTTGAGCATAAATTATCATTGCTCACAATCAAATCATACATCTGTCAACATCTGATATTTATAGTAACAAAATTTTCCATATCTCTGGTACAGGTATCGTGCTTTATTCCTGTTACATGTGTTAAGTGTTAGTTGATTCGATGAACAGAGATTCAGTAATCAATGTCTCTCTCCATTTGACTATTTTGGACTGAATTACAGTGGTTTTATCCCACCTTATTATTTGCTTGTGTGTGTGTGTGTGTGTGTGTGTGTGTACTAGCCGGGACTTTTTCCAGATAATTGATCCTGTTGGGATCTATCATTCTACATTTGGCTAAATTCTCATGTTCCGCTATTCTAACTGACCCCGACCCTCTAGTTCGACCTGTTTATTTGAGGCCACAATGATTACATGGAATTTGATAGATTAGATTATTTTGCCTAATTAGTTCCATCTGATCCTTAAACCGATAAAACTCATCTCTGAGTTAGTTTTTTACGTTTAAATGTCACCCTAATTCCAGCCTTCCTAAGAATCCTACGTAAAGTTTCTGATGTTCCTTCTTTATACAGTAATAAAACAGAGGTTTTGAACTGGTTTCTACTCGTGTTTTCGTTATTATTCGTATTCGTGTTACTATTATCTTTTACATTTCCTGCGTGTTCATATGAATTCCTAAACAAAATTAGCAGTAAATGATTATTTAAAAGAGTTTCTCTTATATTTCAATTCCTTATTTAAGTCTTTGCATTGACTACTGAGTTTTGTAACTTTATTAGTTAGACATTTGGCTAAACCTGTCCTAACTGATGTTGGATGAGATGATATGAAGTCTAGACACCTGTTGAAATGTGTCGGTCTCCTGTACAAGGTAGTATCTAAACCACTGTCTATCCCTCGTTTTGTTCGGCAACCTAACAAGTAATTCTTCTTGTTCATTTTCTACCCTGTAAGTGAATTGGATGGTATCCACTGCTAAGTTTATATGTGTGGGGAAAGTGTTGATACGTTCCGATTTCAACACAGTAAATGTATCGTCGACATATCGCCACCATACCTTAGGTAATGGATTATACGTTTATAAAGCCGTGTTTTCCCAACTATCCATAAATATATCTGCTACGATTAGGAATAATGCCAATCCCATTGTTACTGCTTCTGTTTGTCTACATATTTTGTCATTAAACGCCCGAACCGGAACCAAATTAGACAACACACCTCACTAGGTAAAAGTTTGGCATCCTAAACCACTGGTGCATTTTGTGTCTCTGATGCGTCTGTACAAGACCCTACTGCAGATATCCAATTGACTGTAATTCGTCATTGTGATGTACTTGTATAACTCAGCATAGAGTCAGTAAAGGTTTTGAAATCTCATTCATGTAGAATCCTAGAGAGTAGAATGTACACCCCTCAGGGAATATCTAGTAGCCTATGTGGTATTCGTTTGAATTTTCTTTCCGTAAGAACTTGAACACTGTGACACATCTATGTGTTTGATGTTGGAAGTCAGTCGATCGACAAGAAGCTCATGCTCACTGGTAGCCACCAAGAAACTGGTGCTCCCTCGATGATTTATACCCGATTCAATCAGAACAAAAATGAGAACTAAAATTGAATCTTTTTAAGATGAGACTATGTAAGTTAATGTGCTTGTCCAGTACTTAATGATCACAGCACTAACAGAAGAGATTCCACAACAACATCGATTACCCAGCGGTGATAAATTCAAGTACATTGATGTCTATCAACAATCCGCGTGTATACAGTCAACTAAAGTCAGTCTCATCTTAAGTTTCAAGCTAATACAAAACCGAACTAACTATTGTTCCATATTCAGCTTCTTCGATAATTTAAGAAGTGCTTTATTCGAATAAGTCTTTTTCTTCTTAGTTAACTAACGCCGTCTATAAATTTATGTATCACTATTTGTCTGTATGGTTAGTTGAAGTGAACCAACACAAAATAGGAGATGAATTCCTTTTATTGCATATTATGAAAATCATGTTTTTCATTGCTTAATGAAAGTCATTATTTCTTTTGCAAAGAAAGGTATTCACTTCGAACATACACGTGATATATATATCTTCAAAGGTAATGTAAGAAGAAAAAAATGGACAGAAATCAATCCTTTCTGTATTGGTTTTAATTACAATGAAATTAAACGACCATATAAACGACAAAACTCCTGCTTATTTTACAGTTGATACACTTGTGACCATTTATCGACTGAGATGGCTGAGATATGTGCTACGTATGTCTAGTCCCCATGTGCTTCATGTCGCCCAATTTTATTTGAAAAAGGTTTAGGGCAGTAAGACATGAAGCCGTTGACTGTTCGTCTGAGCTATGTGGGGAGATATAGACTAACCGGTTGAGGTTTATGTAAATACCGGCAATAATAGTCTAGTTTATTCAGTGTGTCCTGAGTGCTCCGTTTTCAAGTTTGGTCAAAAAGATGTCCTCTGGCATAGGACCCAGTGGAGAGCCCATTGCAAACCTATCTACTTGTCGATATAATTCGTTGTTAAACATAAAGTCAACATTCATGGTAGGTAGATTTTAGTAGAAATTCCCTAACTCTTTCCGGTGGCATTCCTACGTCTATCTGTCGTTATCTTAATTCATCGCAAATGTATTATTATTATTATTTGTCCCTTGGATTCTTAGTGGAACATACGGATTCAGTAGCACACCCCCTTCCACTCTCTTCTCTGAAATCTTTCGAACCTGGCTCCACGACTGCCCACAACCTCTCATTTCTCCTCCACACCATCTCCTCCATGTCACCCTCGACTCGGATGCCCAACTCATCGTTTTCCATCTGGGTTCCACTTGAGGGCGTTGCCTGACGCGTGATGTCCCCGAATGGTCTTCTCAGTGCATGCCCAATCCAATCTATCTTCACTTCTTCTACATATTTGTTGAGTGATAGGTTATTAGTTGGTTCGTTATCAGAGTGAGTTCCTTGTTGTTTATTCTTATTATTCTGGCCATCTGAGCTTCAGTAACAAGCCAGGATAAGCAGTTGTTGACGAATTTCTGTAGTTTGTTGGAAATGCTTTTCGTAACGCACCAAGTCTCTCAACCATCACATAGAAGCACTGACTTGACTGACTTAGTATTGAAACTCGGGATATTGTTCAAACTCCATGCTGAGTGCAGTAGATCTCCACATTGGTTTCAGGTTAATGAAGGCCTGTCTTGCCATCTTTTTGATCCTGGCTTTGACGTCCTCGTCTGTGCCGCCTGTAGTTGAAACGATGCTGCCTGCGTAGATAGGTGAAAGAAGCTACTGCCTTTAGGTTTCTCCCGTTGATGGTGATTGGAGCTTGTTGGTGGTGGTGGTAGTGGCGTTGGTTGGGTATCATCACCACTTCCATCGCAAATGTAGTTAACTGTTTCTATAAGCGGAACATTGGAAAATAATCATGCTATATTCAATGAAATCATCCTTTTGTCTCTAACAAACATATATTTTTGACATTCCATGTAAAAGATGTATTCAGCTTCGTAGAACATGTCAAAAATATGAATGTTACAGACAAGAGAATGATTTCATTGAATATAACATGATTATTTTCCGTTTCGCTCATAGAAACAGTTAACTACATTTACGATGAATTAAGATAACGACAGATAGACGTAGGAATGCCACCGGAAAGAGTTAGGGAATTGCTACTAAAATCTACCTACCATGAATGTTGACTTTATGTTTAACAACGAATTATATCGACAAGTAGATGGGGTTGCGATGGGCTCCCCACTGGGTCCTATGTCAGCGGACATCTTTTTGACCAAACTTGAAAACGGAGCACTCAGGGACACACTGAATAAACCAGACTATTGTTGCAGGTATATGAATGATACGTTTATCATTTGTAAGAATGCCTACAATAAAGATGATCTCTTGAATACCTTCAATAAAGTTCATCCAGATTTCATTTTGTTTCTTTATCTTTTTTCATGTAGAGTGTGACAACTGAACTGTTATGCGATGCAGTAGTGCCTGATCTTGTGTTCATACTGATGATGATGGATCCCAACTACGTGATATCATGAGTAAACAGAAGTTGGAAAGAATGAAAAAGTAGAAACCAACCCCATGGATATTACGGTAACTAGATGGTCACGACGCTTGCTCAGTCCCTCAAAGAACTAAGAGTTTATACCGCTGAAAAATTCAAAACTAGCGTGAAATACATTTCTAGAGATTTTAGGTTTCCAATGGCTTTTTTAGTTGATGCTAATTTGTGATGGAAACTATTCAGAATTATTGACTATTTAAAAATTACTTGTAAATAATCTACAACGGTAGTTATTCCAACAAGAAAAAATATATTTTTCAAAAAGCCACTCAAAAGTAGTACTCTTTCACCAAAAAATACTTCTTAAAAAAATGCAACAAAGAGGTCAACATTAAAAAATATTCTCAGAAAGTCAGAAGTGGGTTAAATGGCTTAGTAGAAGAATATTGACTTTACGACTGATCAATGGCGCAGTCTGAAATCTTCGAGGTAATATAAAACCAAATAGTTGACGAGTCCCAGAAAACAAATACCCAGTTTTTCCACCGATTAACTCGAAACACTAATCAACTGATTATTGCATAGAATGAATAAATCAACTAGTTAATATAATGATTATTGAATAAATTCATGTATTTGCCAAAAAATAGTTGAAAAAAGTAATCAACTTACTTGTGATTGGAGCTTCTAAATCCAGCATAGTTTTCTCTGATTTTAATATAGCTGATGCATCATTGATAATCCGTAATATTGCTTCTTCTGTAAGTCGACCCTCTGCAACTAAGTGTGGTCCTATCACATCTAATTGAGGCCGACCTTTAGAATCAAACACTGTACTAGAAGGCATCAATTTGCTCGGAGGAGGAGGTATACCTGAAAAAGAGAATTAGAGTGGAAAATAAATGATGACGAAAGAATGTAATAGATTGAATAAATAACTCGATGAAAGGTTCTTCGAACACACTGTCTATTTATTTGGTTGTGGCTAGCAGAGGAATATAGGATGCGCATTTCGTCTTATCTAGGGCTCGTCAGTTGGATGTACGTACCTCCCGGTAAGCGGTGTTGTTCCCATTGAAATTTAAAGCTCATACACATAACTTCAAACGCCAAAGCGTCATCAAGTAGGTCATTGAGGCACGATAGTTATCTGTTGTATAACGGGTATTAGTTATCACTATTTGTTGATATACTTGAAATTTTCCGTTGTTATACTTAGCCGAATTGATCCACCTCTGTTGGCATATGGACTCCTATGTGAATGATTCCATATTGTGTGAATTAATTAGAGAACTATCAACTGCACAAAATCCAAGCACTACGAAATACAGATAGACCGAGAGAAAACTCGGTCTGAGAAAATTGCACTGGTTCAAATTGTCATACTTCGTCACAACAGGGAAAGCGAAACAATGAAAGTAGAAAAATATTCAACTAAACATGAAAAAGGAGAAAGAAGGAGTGGGTGAATATTGATAGGGTGGTGACAGCTTCGAAGATGAAAACATCAGCATCAACTATAAAAGTAATAGTAATGCAGCTCAGAGATCACATACAGGTTGAAGTATTTACTATGCAACTGACTAAAATCACCCAACTACTCAAATCTCAACAGGCAGCATTGGAATTGGTAATCGTAAATTCAAGAGGTTTACCCTCAAAAGTAATGCTCAGAATATCATCTATATTCACTGAATTACTTAACACCAGTTCTTTGTTGTTTGACGCCTCCAATCTCCTCTCCCGTCGAATTGTTCGACCTCTGTTGGTAGATGGGCTCTTATGCAGATGCCTTGATACTGCCTGATTATTGACTGTGTTGATGTCTGTTTCTTGGCTTTGGCGTTTGAAGAGATGGTTTTTCAGTTTGAATCTCAGTAAGAACAACACTATTCACCGAGGTACAGGTACATTCGGTTGACGAGTTCCAGATAGAACGAAAGCCACATTCTGGATTCCGCTGCTAGCCACCAAGCAGACATCAACATCATTTTCCCGTATAAGCATTCAGTATTTTTATTTTATAGTCTAATAAGTGGCTGGCTAACAATGGAATCCAGGATGTATGCTCCATCATATTTGGCCCTCTTCAGATGGATGTACCGGTATCCCAGTGAGACTGGAATATAGTAAAGCAAATTAAAAGTATCTTCAAATGCATTCTCACCCTAGTCATCATCTCATATCGGGGTAGGGAATGACTGGACCTATGCCACTCACACACACACACACACCTCAATAATATTAGTTGATATAAAACCACTTTACGACCTAACTACCTAACATGCCCCTTTCAGTAAATAATTAGGCCATGAAGAAAAATCAATCCATAATACACAAAAATCGTGTATATTACACATGCATACACACGCATATTTATATCCAAATATTCAATGTTATGAATAGTGGAATAACCAAGGTTTGTTACCAATAAGTAGGTAAAGCTTGACAATGTATATATATATATATATATATATATATATATATATATATATATATATATATATATATATATATATATAATTTCTTCCTAGTTCCCTTTTATTCCTACGCTAACACATAATGACCTGAAATTGGTCAAGTGTCATCGATCGTACATAAACCATATTCTATGTAATCGCGTATAGATTACGCGTAACCTTCATGAATACACGCAAACATACACATACCAAGTAGTTTTCCCCACTAATATTCATTGATTGAATTCAACTATAGCCTTCTATGCATCCTATGAACTATATTCTTTTTTAACAGAAAGTTAAATGGACACATTACAACAACAAAAAAAGGTGAAAATTAGCCTCGCTACTAAGGTCATCCCCTTTCTGACACTCTATCACTAAGCCTGTCAGAAAAGAGAATAGAATGAGAAATATAGCAGAAATAGAATGATCAATGAATAAGACTCGATTGGTCAACTTAATTGATTGTATCAGTCAACATGTTAGGAAAGTGGGACAATATAAGAAAAGAAAATAAGGAGAATAGCTTGACAATTAGTTACTGTTATCAACAGTTATATACCTTACTAAGGTTACAATTTCAATAATAGTGACTTTTAAATATTATGTATCCGAATATATCCACGTCAAGAAGAAGTAACATTCCAGTGTGAGAAACTGGGGAAATGTCAACCAACCCAAGCATAAAACCATTTCTGATGTGAAGTGTTGACCAATATACACTAGTGTAGTTTTTATGTATATACCGTTTGATATACCGACTGATAATACTCCCTGCTTAAAAACCGAACTGATCACAAATTTTAAGGTAATATTCATGAGAAACTGAAATCAATAAGGGAATCATTAAAAAGCTGACAGCATTAGAAAGTTGTTTCAGCCTCGAACGAGACTACTCAAGTAGTATGCACCCAAAATCCTACTAGGGATTGAAGTCAGGACTTCCAGATCTCCTGGTGAATGTGTTAAACAATCAGCCAATGGGTGGGAGTTGAATGCTCCATAATTCCCAAATTCTGTCAACCGCTGATTTCTTTCATCTCGAGGACACTAATAAGGCAGTCTACATCGCCCCACACAACTCAGACAAACAGTGAGACACTTCATCGATTGATGCCAGGTATTAGTCTGCCACTATGAGCCCTCGTTCTACCTAATCAAATTTCCCCCAGTATAACACGTGGAGGCAAGCGGTGGCCCAGCATGCACAGTTGGTCCCCAAGCCATTGCAGGTGATGAAGCTTCATAATCTCACCAATCGACTTCCCTATCTTCCCTTATATCCTTCGCCTGACCTAAACATTGCTCACATGGTGATTCAACTAAACGCGAGCAATACTACGAAGACATCTGTGATCAAAAACCCTGTCATACCTTCATGTCTTCCACTTTCAACGGTTGTCTCACAGCCGTACAACAGGACAGAACGGATTATAGCAGTGCAGTATACTATTCCTCTAACAGTTAGTCAGATATCTCGCCAGTCCACACAACATATGATGCAAGTTGGCAAATGTCAAACGCACCCTTAGTATCTCAGTTAAGATTTCACCTGCAACCAGCCCATTCGGGCTCATGTAACTCAGCCAGTAAGTGAAGTAGTCGACAAATTTCCCATCTTCACTCCCTATCCTCTAACTGAGAGTAGTTGCAGACCAGTTGTGGAGCATCATCGTACCTTTTTACAAGTGCAGAACATAAGTAAAACACATTCAGATTTCTGCTCAACGAATCAAGAAGACCGTGCATTTTGTCAGTCTTCACCTGGTAGAACAATGTCATCTGTATAGTCCAAAGTAATCACATACCGCTCCCCAGGAAGTAGATCATTCCTTATGAAGTCAGATGAACCTGAGGTTATGGGCATTAGTACGTGTATAACGAAGTTAAATAAAAACGGTGACAGTGAACAGCCCTACCGGATACCACTAGTTGTCGTCGATTCACATGACCACTCTCCATAATCCATTACACGGCTGCATAAGTTCCAGCAGAGAGCTATGATTAACACTATATACTTGCTTGATATCATCATCATCATCAAATCCAAACGGCCTACAGTTGAAAGATTAGTAGTTAATAGTGACATACTATGCTTTAAATATGTAGAAATAAATGGAGAATTGAAATCGAGGATTAACAGTTTCGTAGTGAGTCAATGAAACACAGGATTAATCATTGCAAATCTTAGTCAAAATCAATGACAGTTTATATCTGATGAGATGGAAAACTCTGGAGCTATGGATTCGGGGGTGGACAACAAATAAACTTCAGTGTAAAGGAAAGGGTTGTTAAAAAGCTAGTAGGTTACGTAGTTGCATGAAAAAACAGGAAAATTGTTAGGTGATCAACAGTTAGTAAGAAATTAATAAAGAGATAATGCAATCAAAAAAAAGGAAGACAATACATGTGGACATGCAAAAAATTAAATGCAGTTACCAAGGTAAAGAAAGGCTAATCAGGGTCTCTTTCTGAGTGCATAGGTCAGTTTGAAAATGTTTGACGGCGACAACTTCCGTAAATCGTAATAAACATGGCGTTTTTTTGTTTAAGAATATTCTGAGAAATCTGTGTCTGTAAGGTAGCGAGGTCTTTACCAACATAATCGTCAGGCATCTCGTGGAAACAGAACATCAAGTAGATGTTTGTTTCAGAATCCTCCAGGATAATCAAGAAACAAAGAACATCATGTTCACGGAAGTTGTCGCCGTCAAGAATTTTCAAACAACGATATTAGGAAACGAGTATTAAACAATCACTTGTAAGTGTATTGTGAAGAAAGTACAGTGGTACTTGTAACACCTTCTAAAAGTTGTATTCTGTCATATTCGCTTTAAAAAGTGATTAAGTACTTCTAAATATGAAAAATTTGGTTTTGACAAATTTCCAAACCCTACTCTCGATGATGTTTAGTTTTTCATCAATTATCAAGTGGAAATTTTCGTTTGTAAAACATAATAATTGCTCTCTATATCTTTGAGTGTTATAAAGCAATTCATTGTATTACAACTAGTTTCAAGTGGAACAGTCTTGATAAAGTACCAGTCATATGGTATCAGTCCCATGTGTTGTGATCTAACTCATTGAAAGACTATCTAAATAATAAAAAAGCAGATTAATATACATAAATCAGTATCAGTAGGCTACACTTGCACAATTACAGATTCAGCATATGATAGACAGAGTTGTGAGGGTGGTTGATACTTCCAGGCTGTCCACACCGTGAGGTACCTGAAAAAAAGGTTAGTTCGTGGTCGCAGATCCTAAGGGACATCTGCTTGAGACCGGTCACCTACGGCTTTTGTGATGCCAAGAGAACTGGCCAGTATTATGGAAAATGTCGTCGGACATACATTCTGTGGTTTTGGATGAACACTAACCACTGATGACTGATCTCAACCATCCTAGTGC